ACATTGGTGGAACACTTGCAGAATATTCAGCCACAAAAGATAAAACAGGAACTGCACATGATTTACATAAATTCGCAGGCTGTTACTTGTGGGAATAAAGAACAATTGTGTTCATAAATGACCTCCCAGTGACTTTGCCAACAAGTGCAAGATATTTAGCTCAGGTACAATGTAATATAAACTGCTAAGTGAACAGTTTTTACTCCTTTGGTAGGTCAACCCAATTATATTAAATCCATCTAAAAGTGGAGTCATATATTCAGCTGTGTTTGGTAAATTTAAAGGTAGGTTCTTACCATCTGCTGGATTTGCATTGTTTGCACTTTCCTACACTGTTCTTCGGTTTGTCTCATTTTTTCTTTCTGCTGAGCAATGAAGTAATTGTCTGCCTCTCTTATTTCATAAAGGGCTTGTACGGCCTTCAATTTCTCTTCTTTTTCTTCCTCTTCTTTTTTTCGTCTCTGTTATTAAACATAACATATTTCATTTCTTGTACCTAGTTGATTTTATGGAAATTTTTAGACCCTTTAACTGGTGTATGTACAGTCATGGCCGAAATTGTTGGCACCCTTGATATTTTTCCTGAAAATCAAGTATTTCACACAAAAAAGGTATTGCATTAACACATGTTTTGCTATACACATGTTTATTCCCTTTGTATGTATTGGAACAAATATAAAACAGAGGCAGAAAAGCAAATATGACATAATGTCACACAAAACAAATGGGCTGGACAAAAGTATTGGCACCCTTAACTTAATATTTGGTTGCACACCCTTTGGAAAACATAACTGAAATCAGTCGCTTCCTATAACCATCAATAAGCTTCTGACACCTCTCACCCGGAATTTTGGACCACTCTTCCTTTGCAAACAGCTCCAGGTCTCTCTTATTGGAAGGACACCTTTTCCCCAACAGCAATTTTAAGATCTCTCCACAGGTGTTCAATGGGATTTAGATCTGGGCTCATGCTGGCCACTTCAGAACTCTCCAGCGCTTCTTTGCCATCCATTTCTGAGTGCTTTTTGACGTATGTTTGGGGTCATTGTCCTGCTGGAAGACCCAGGATCTTGGACGCAAACCCAGCTTTCTGACACTGGGCCCTACAGTGCGACCCAAAATCCTTTGGTAATCCTCAGATTTCATGATGCCTTGCACACAGTCAAGGCACCCAGTGCCAGAGGCAGCAAAACAACCCCAAAACATCATTGAACCTCCACCATATTTTACCGTAGGTACTGTGTTTTGTTCTTTGTAGGCCTCATTCCGTTTTCGGTAAACAGTAGAATGATGTGCTTTACCCGAAAAGCTCTATCTTGGTCTCATCTGTCCACAAGACGTTTTCCCAGAAGGCTTTTGGCTTACTCAAGTACATTTTGGCAAACTGTAGTCTTGCTTTTTTATGTCTCTGTGTCAGCAGTGGGGTCCTCCTGGGTCTCCTGCCATAGCGTTTCATTTCATTTAAATGTCGACGGATAGTTCGCGCTGACACTGATGCTCCCTGAGCCTGCAGGACAGCTTGAATGTCTTTGGAACATGTTTGGGGCTGCTTATCCACCATCCGGACTATTCTGCGTTGCAATCTTTCATCAATTTTCCTCATCCGTCCACGACCAGGGAGATTAGCTACAGTGCCATGGGTTGCAAACTTCTTGATAATGTTGCGCACTGTGGACAAAGGCAAATCTAGTTCTCTGGAGATGGACTTGTAACCTTGAGATTGTTGATATTTTGCCACAAATTTTGGTTCTCAGGTCCTCAGACAGTTCTCGTCTCCTCTTTCTGTTGTCCATGCTTAGTGTGGCACAGACAGACACACAATGCAAAGGTTAAGTGAACGTCTCTCCTTTTTATCTGCTTTCAGGTGTGATTTCTATATTGCCCACACCTGTTACTTGCCCCAGGTGAGTTTACAGGAGCATCACATGCTTGTAACATTCTTATTTATCCGCAGTTGTGAAAGGGTGCCAATACTTTTGTCCAGCCCATTTTTGGAGGTTTGTGTGACATTATGTCGAATTTGCTTTCTTTCCTCCCTTTTTTTGTTTTGTCCCAATACACACAAAGGGAATAAACATGTGTATAGCAAAACATGTGTTAATGCAATACGTTTTTACGTGAGAAATACATGATTTTCAGGAAAAATATCAAGGGTGCCAACAATTTCGGCCATGACTGTATGTCATTGGTATTTGTCAAGCAGTGTCTCTTTTTAAACTGCTTATTTACATCACTGTCCTAGTAAAAGTGCAAAATCCCTTACAGAGACATTGTCACTTGCCCATTCAGAACAAAGTCAAAGTGCCTACTGATAGCCTTTACCCCAGCAAAGGAAATGCAATATCTATGATGCCTATATGATCCTTCAGAGTCCATGTGCAATTGCTCTAATGGAGTGAGATCTAACTTTCCTAAAACTATGAAAAAATTAACTATGGTTTGGCTGGAGTTTGGCCTTGATCAAAGTTATTTATAACTGATTTATTAACAGCTATTAAAAGTTACATTTCTTGCTACTCATTCTGCTCAGGACAAACATACTCCCTCAGATCTACACCTTTCTGCAGGTAATACAAAGAGATGAAATGTGTACAAAAACTATCGCACTAAATGGATACCATATAATACATAAAAAGTAAATCAATGTTGAAAGACTAGTGAATAAATAAATAAATAGTCGTATTACATAATTAAATAGTGCACTTGAGTGCATGACATGATGAATATAAAAAACAAATCTCAAACTACCGTATTTTTCGCTCCATAAGACGCACCTAGGTTTTAGAGGCAGAAAACAGGAAAAAAAATTCTGAACTAATGGACTGCAGACATAGTATAGGGGATGACCAGAGCCTGCGGACACAGTACAGGAGATGACCAGAGCCTGCGGACATAGTACAGGAGATGACCAGAGCCTGCGGACATAGTACAGGAGATGACCAGAGACTGCGGACAGCACAGGGATGACCAGAGACTGCGGACAGCACAGGGATGACCAGAGACTGCGGACAGCACAGGGATGACCAGAGACTGCGGATAGTACAGGGGATGACCAGAGACTGCGGATAGTACAGGGGATGACTGCTGACCTTTCGGGGGGGGGGGGGGAGCGGGTACCTGAATTTGACAGGTACCCGCTCCCACTTCCGCGGAGTTGTTCTTTCATCTTACCTGTTCCTCTATCCAGCCGCGCGCTGTCTTCCCGGCTTCTGTAATGGCGCTCAGCATGACAGCCGGGTGCCCAGTGCGCATGAGCGAGAAGCACTTGCGCTTTGTGATTGGTCCGGCAGCTTCTGGGATCTGTCATGTGTCCCAGGTGCCGCCTTACCATTCACAAAAAGCACCGCTTCTTGCGCATGCGCACTTGACACCCGGCTGTCATGCCCACACTACAGAAGCCGGGTAAGATGAAAGAACAACTCCACGGAAGTGGGAGTGGGTACCTGTCAAATTCAGGTACCCGCTCCCCCTCCCTCCCCAAAGGTCAGCAGTCATCTCTAAGGTCCCGCTGTAGAGCTGAGCAGCCGGCCCGGTATTCTGACACGGCGGCAGTGGAAATACCGGACCGGCCGCTCCATATTCGCTCCATAAGACGCACTGACATTTTCCCCCCTTTTTTTGGGGGAAAAAAGTGCGTCTTATGGAGCGAAAAATACGGTACTTGCTGCCACCTTAAATAAAAATCAAACAAACACTAAAATGGGAAATAAACCCTTCAAAGTGGCGGTGTAGGTTATAAACATCCAAACAATGCTCAAAATGTATATGTCATCTGGTGAAAAAGACCTTAAAGCGATCCTAAAGGTTTTTTTTATTTTGTAAAATAACAAACATGTCTATACTTAGCTGCTGTGTGCAGTGGTTTTGCACAGAGCAGCCTAGAACCTCCTCTTCTCAGGTCCCCCGCAGGATCTCCTGGCTCCTCCTGTCTGTCGGGTGCCCCCACAGCAAGCAGCTTACTATGGGGGCATCCACTGCTCTGTGTCAATTCACATATGGAGCCGTGGCTTGACGCCACCCCCCTCTCTCTCCTCATTGGCTGTGGTTGACAGCAGTGGGAACCAATGGCTCCTGTTTGCTGTCTTAGCCAATGAGGAGGCAGAGACCCAGGACAGCAAAGGCTGTCATTCACATCGCTGGATCGCGATGAGGCTTGGGTAAGTATTGAGGGGGCTGGTGGAGCTGCTACACATAGAAGGTTTTTTACCTTCATGCATACAATGCATGAAGGTAAAAAATCTTCAGCATTTACAGCCATTTTAATGTCATTAGTCCATGATGTCAAAACAGTGCAAATAAAGTGCTCCAATGCCCAAGGACTTGCTGCTTTCCATCCAAGACACCACAAAGTGCTCGTGACAAATCACTTCCCGCTGGGTAAACACTCACTGGACCTACATGCCTCCTGCTCTCATGGTTGCCATGATAAGCTTTGAGACTTCACCCAAGGTCTTTGATGTATTGACCATCACAAAACTCCTCACTCCACTAGGTATCATAATCATGAAAAAAAAAATAATCTCCAATGGTACAGTAACCAATACAACATGCTTTATTCAAAGAATATAATGCCACTCACAAGATAAAATATATTAAAAACGCTCATCATATGCATATATGGATAGGCGTCAGGTGTGGTAGTATGGTAATGGCTCTCACCACCACCGGACCACTCATCTCATGTTTCACGTGACTTAAGTTTCGGACCCGAAATCAGAAGTCAACGCAATTCGAGTGATCCAGCGGTGGTGAGATCCATTACCATACTAACACACCTGTTGTCAGAAAGGAGTGATTTCTCAAGAGCGCTTTGTGGTGTCTTGGGTGGAAAGCAGCAAGTCCTTGGACACTGAAGCACTTTTTTTGCACTGATTTGACATCATGGACTAATGATATTAAGGACTTTTTCACCTAATGATATATACATTTTAAAATATCATACAAAAATCGACAATCAGAATCATAAACAGTTGTGTTCTCACCATTGCAAGCCTATGCTCAGTGATAGCCTTGATATCTGCTTTTATCTTTTTTTCTTTTTCCTGTGTTTCTTTTTTTTTTTTTGCTTCAATTTCTGCTACAGCTTTTGCTATGCATTCCTCTTCATCATCAACTTTCTGTTTCATTTGTGCCGCCAGCAGTTCAGTGATTCGATCCCTGCGTTCCACTGTTTGCCTAGCCCCCAACAAAGAAAACATTAGAATCACTGAGATGTCTCATTTTGCTCAGCAAGTTTAAATGATTTTTGGCCTTTGCGTGATTTGTAACACGCTGGTATTCATCACTGCCCACTCAGATATTTAGAAAAAAACATAATTATGGGATTAGTGTGTTAACTGATTGTGGAGCTTAGAAACGCAGCAGTAAGAAAGGGAGGTCATGATCATGATTCCACGGGTGAAAAGGCAAAGCTGTAGGTGATCATAAAGCACAGGGAAAGAAACAGGAGGTAGAATGATGCCTAAATGTGGATTCCGTGGTAGGTTGATAAAAGATGCTGAATGACAACTGGTTGTAGACCAGCAGGGCATAAAGAAGGTGCAGTGGAAGCTGATCATTACAGAGGATGGAGAGGAGAAAAAAAAGCTGGCCATGGGTCAAGGGAACCAAGCATGGAACGGAAAAATAAGGGAGGCAGAGTAGTAACTGATGGAGGGGAAAAGATAGTGGTGAATGTGTGAGCTGATCCACAACTGGAGAGAGAAGGAAGGCAGAATGTAGAGGATCATGGATAGGGGAAAAAGACATGAGGCTAGGAGAGAGCTGGACTAGGACACATGTAAAAGAATGGCAGCACAAAAGAGGTATCATAGATTGGAGAGAAGGAAGTGGGAACTAACTGTGGACAGTGGATAGAGGAGGCAAAATGTGATCTGACCATAGACCATTGGGAGAATAGGTAGAGTGGAGCAAGTTGGGAGGCAGAGAGAGGGATGATTGTGGCTGGGGAAGAAAAGTAGAGTGGGAGCTGAACATGGACAGAGGATAGGAGAGGCAGAGTGAGAACAGTTGGATGGAGAGAGAAATGGATGTCTGCTGATTGTCTTCCATTGAGAAACAACACAAAGGAGGACTCTCATGGACTGGGAGGATAAACAGAGGGGAAGCAGAGAGTGGGGAGATGGGTCATATATAAACTGTCATTTCTCTCTCCTGAGGAAGAATGACAGTTCATACCAATGTCCTTGATGTGTGAAGTGATTGTGCAGCTGTTTGCAATTACCACACAAAATACCTCAAGGAATGTGATTTGGTGGAAAGAAGCTTTGCTTAGAAGATACATACTTAAAAAAAAATGTAAGGTGGTATCTAATATCTGATTTGGAGTATGGCTTCAGTATGGCAGCCAGGGAACAAAAGGTGACAATATGCCACAAAATTGCATTGTATAGAATGAGGTTCACCAAGCCAGAGACACTGGAACAGAAATGTTGTGACAAAGCACCAGGGACGGGACATAGTGTTGAGAAACTGTAAAATAAATACAGGGAATAGAAGCATGTGTAATGCTTGATATTCCAGATGGTATTGTGGAAAGATATCAGGATGGAACACAATGTGAACAGGTACATACATTACCAGACTGTAGTGTGAATAGTAGGTGGGGGGGAGACCTGCAAGAGAAGCTACAGTGGACATTATGGGTAAAGCTGTCAGAAAACATGGTGCAGACAGTGGGGGTATCTACTAGAGAATGTAATGTGAATGGAGGAGATATTAACAACATAAAAAGAGCAGCAGCATGGGTATAAAAGTGGGTGACACTTGACATTTGATTAAACTTACTATGAGCTTTTCCAGTTTCTGAACAAATGTGGAAAATCCCTTCAAGCTTTATTTTTCCTATTATTCTGCAGTGCAGGGGTCATAGGCACTAACACCTACTTTTACACCCCCGCAATGCAAATGTGGCTGTCCTGAACAAAGCAAGAAATGCCTTCACTCCATTCTGCCATTTTAGAAAAAGAATGATTTACATTAATATAGATTTTATTCACATTTTTTCATCTGCCACCATACAAAGATAGTTGTATTCAGAACCTGGATAGCTATGAACCTACTGGTATTTTATTTTGGGTTTGAGGTTTTCCAATTTTTAAAAAAAAACATAGAAAGCCAAGTTAAGAATCTCTTTCTAAAACATGTTCTTTCTATGTCCTTACATTCTGCAGCCTAGGACATGTACACATCCTCACCTGTGCAATTCATCCTCTCTTTCTTTTTTCAAGTTGGACATTTTTTTTTTTTGCAAGAATGAAGCGACGTACCAAGTCATCATTCTCTTCTTCCTTCTGTTTTTCAAACTCTCTAAGCAAGTTTCTGTCTGTAACATGTGCCTGTCAAATAACCAAAGGTATTCCAATATTTATATCACATATTTCATAATTTTAGCTTCAATAATTTGTGTCAGTGAATCCCACTTAATTATAGTTTTGTTGTACTGAATAGTACCTGCTGCGCAGTATAGACTAGGCACATAAAACTCAAGTCCAAAGACAGGCCACAAAAGCAATGCCATCCTCAGCTGTGGGCCACATTTTGACAAATACTTTATATGTGTATATTAAACTGGAAATTACCACGTAGATTGGAAACAAAAAAGAAGAAGCAGCAGCACATATAAAGGTACAGGGCATACCCTACATTTACAAAGCTATCTAAAGCATATGCCACACTAATAAGGTTAACAATATTAAATAAAAGTCCAACATAAAACTGTGTCCATCAATGTGTAGTCCGATTTAAACAATAGTGTTCTTCAACATATATAAAACACCCAAGTGCTCTTTCCACCAAGGCACATACACTAACTGGCCACTTTATTAGGTACACCATGCTAGTGCCAAGAAAATATCCCCCACAGCATTACACCACCACCACCAGCCTGAACCACTGATAAAAGGCAGGATGGATCAATGCTTTCATGTAGTTTGCGCCAAATTCTGACCTCACCATCTGAATGTCATAGCAACCAGTCTGCTCATTCTCCTCTGATCTCTGACATCAACAAGGCATTTCTGTCCACACAACTGCCGCTCACTGGATATTTTCTCTTTTTCACATCATTCTCTGTAAACCCTAGAGATGGTTGTGTGTGAAAATCCCAGCAGATCAGCAGTTTTTTAAATACTCAGACCGGCCCGTCTGGCACCAACAACCATGACATGTTCAAAGTCACTTAATTCCCCTTTCTTTCCCATTCTGATGCTCAGTTTGGACTTCAGCAAGTCCTTTTCACCATGTCTACATATCTAAATGCATTGAGTTTCTGTCATGTGATTGGTTGACTAGCAATTGTGTTTACCAAGCAATTGAACAGGTGTACCTAATAAAGAGGTCGGCGAGTGTATATGCGCTTACCACAATGAGTGTGACTCTCAGCCTTAGAGAAGTCAAAACACACTATTTTCAGATTATATGATGCCATAGTGTGAATCCTAGGAGAAAAAAAACACCATTTAATAATACATTTCCAGGATCCCGATGATGGCCACACATGCGTGGTGACATCATGATCCCCAGTTCCGCTCTACATACACTATATTGCCAAATGTGTTGGGACGCCTGCCTTTACACGCACATGAACTTTAATGGCATCCCAGTCTTAGTCTGCAGGGTTCAGTATTGGACAAAATGTAAAGTGACTATAATATTGTCATTACTGATTATGTAAAACACGAGCAACATGCAATACAGATGTGTAGATAGTAAGATAGAAAAAAAAAAAATCAGCGGTCATAAAATATGTGAGCTTTATTTTAAAATATTTCTAAACTCATCACGTCTGTTTAGAGACACTTGGATATGATCTATTTCAACTAAAGGACTATAGATTGTTATCTTTGTTTTCACACTTCAGTCGGCCATACATGGAACAAACGTTAGCTGTTTCAGCAGGGACCAACCAAATTTCAATCCATATATGGGCACCCTGGTTGTACACAAGTCAATTTATTGATCGAGTTGAGTACAACTAGCCCATCAGGTTTTTCCCAAATGATCAGAGCCGCTGGCTATAGCTGGCAACACTGATCATTGTATTCTGATGGTGGGGAAGGCTCCCCGCAAGCAGAATACGATAGCACAGTGGGAGGATTCCCCGATTAACATTGAATGTGTGGATGGAGGAATCAGATAATTTTTTTTCATTTAACCCGTTGCTGCTCGGCCTATACCCAGATGGCAGCCAGGCTAACACCTGGTCCCTCCGGGTGGACAACATATGGCGTCCTTTTCGGAGTGCGCATGCCCGCAGGGCACGATTTGTCACCGGCCGTGTACCTCGGACACGGCTGATGACAGATCTGTATATCGGCCCCATTGCCAGTACCATGTGACCTGATTGTGACCAATCAAAGCAGGTCACATGACAGTTGTATACAATGGATGGCTTCCTTTCATGCCATCCATTGTATGCAAGTGTGTTTAACTGTGAATGGTCACAGCGATCACATGCACAAGCTGGGCCAATCACAGCCCAGCTGTGTCATGTGATTAGCCGTGGCCAAATCACAGCTAATCACAAAAAAAAAACCCTGAATGAATCGATTTCATTCAGGTAAATGCTTGCATATAGCTAAGTAATTCTTTGCTATAAGCAAATTGTATAAAAAAAAAACAAAATACTGATCACTTCCCCAAAGTAGTACAATGTTACTATGGTAACATTATACTACTTTGGTCATATTGAAATATGAAAAATAAATGTTAAAAAAAGAGAAAAAATTTAATAAAAAATTAAAAATAATATAAAAAAATGTAAAAAAAAATAAAAAATATAAATTTTGTTTTCCATACTGTCACCAGTCAGTGTCCCTGATCACCGCCATGCCCGTTAATGATGACGCTGTACTGCACTGGTAACAGTATGTAAAAAAAAAATGAAAATCATTTTTTTAATTTCTTCATTATCCGAAAAATTATGACAAAAAATTACAACTTAAAAAAACTCGCCATGCCTCTTATGAAATACATTGGACTGTCCACTCTGCAAAAAGGGGTCATTTGGGGGGATAGCTGTACTATTCTGACATTCTTGGACCTCAAGAAATTAGATTGGCTGTCAGTACTTCAGGATTGATCAATATTCAGATATATCCCATAGTTTGTGAACTCTATAACTTTCCTACAGACTAAATAATAAATACTAATTTGGGTTATTTTCACTAAAGAAATGTAGCAGAATACATCTTGGCCTAAATTTATTAATAACAATTATTTATTTGCAAGCTGTTATAACAGAAACAAAGAAAAACTTGTTTGTTTTTTTTTTTAAATTTCGCAAAAAATAAAAACCCCAGTGGTGATTAAATACCACCAAAAGAAAGCTCTAGTTGTGTGAAGAAAATGATAACATTTTAGTTTTGGTACAGTGTTGTATGACCGCGCAATTGTCATTCAAAGTGTGAGAGCGCTGAAACCTGAAAATTGGCCTGGGCAGGAAGGGGGTAAAAGTGCCCTGTATGGAAGCGGTTAACCTCCAGGTCGATCGAAAAAAAAAAAAATGAAAATGTATGGGCTACCTAAGAAAGTATGGTTGTCCTTTAAAGCCTCAGTTGTGGAATGGTGGAATACTAAATAGATTGCAATGTGGACATCCATATCTTCCTAAAAGGGCCCTATATGTAAAGTAAATTTGTTCTATTTTTTTTTTTGTAATTTACTGACCAAATGGGCTTTCATTATTTCTTGTTTCTCATCCCATTTCAGTTTAGCCAGCTTGCCCATTTCCCACTCAAACAGTCTGGTCAGTCTTCTGATTTCTTCACCCTCTCTATAGTTAGCGCGTTTCTCTAGTTCGTCAACATGTCTGTGCTCCTCCATCCTGGGGAGAAATGAACCACATATGAAAGCTGAAACATAGGAAGACTGCAACAAAGTTAGTATAACTGAATTCCAAGATTTTCAACTGCTTCAAAGAGTACCTGTCTCATGAACTGAACATAGTAGCCTTTTATGCTTACTCTGATCTTTAAAACACTGTATACATATTGACAGGCTAAGCAATAGCTGGGAAACTGAAAAAACAAATAAATCCACAGCAGATACAACAGAAAATCTGCCAAAAAAACAGTACATTTTCACATACTGTTTCAGAAGTTCATTTGCGTTGTTCTTTTTTTCTGTCATCCTCTGCAACGCCTTCTGCTGATCATCATAAATACTTTCTTCCAGTTCTCGCTGCATGGTTGCCAGAGAGTCTTTGTCTTGCCTATTGCTCATATTCATTATCTTTTTTTTGAGCTCCATCTGTGCATCCGCTCTTTTATAACTTCAGTAAGTAGCAGCGCACTCTGTAAATTATACAGGTAACACATTTTAATAAAACAGCTGCAAGTTTTTAGGTGGACTTCAGAATAACCAGCAAAGCTCCAGCACACCAGATCACTATGACTCAAATATAAGAAACATGAAACAAATTATATACATGAAACGTCTTGACTTTATCAGTCTGATAGTATTGCTTGGTCCTGGCCTTTTTTCAATAGCCTCTCTCCTTTTCTCTGCCTGATATTGGGCCTCCTCTAAATCAATTTTCTTCTTCTCTTCCTCTTCTTTTTCCTCCCGAAGCTTTTTTGATTTTAGCCTCTTCTGCCTCAAGCCCTTTAAATGATATTGAAAAAAATAAATAGTGTTCATGATAATAAATACACAGCAATGATTGTTTTTATTCTTAAAATCTAACAGAAGCATTACTAATATTATGAAAAAAACAATTTCTGCGGAAATACTCCCTAGAGAAATATGTATGATGACATTGTTGACCTATCCAGAGAATGCTAGTTGCCAGGCTATAGTTGGCCATACATGGTTTGTCTTTTTGGTTCAGACAAAAAAAACAAAACAAGGCCTGGTTCACACTAGATGCTCTCCGGTGACTTTTAAAAGTTATCTGGAACACATGTACAATAATTGCTATGTATTCCATTGGCTCTAGTTCACACCAGTGTTGTCAGTTCCACTGCTTTCAGCAAAGTACAACCTGCCACAGTTTTTTTGCCTGAACAAGCCTACAAGTTTACATGTAAACGCTTTGGAATGCCCATAATAAACTGTTGTCCTAAGATTTTTCAAGTGCCAAAATAAAAAAAAAAGAGGAAAAAAAAAGCACTGGAACACATTTATTTATTACAGGTAAATATGTAATGGTGTCAATTTATGCAGCGCTTTACATACATATTGTACATTCACATCAGTCCCTGCCCTCAAGGAGCTTACAATCTAAGGTCCCTAACTCACATTCATACATACACATACTAGGGCCAATTTAGACAGGAGCCAATTAACCTACCAGCATGTCTTTGGAGTGTGGGAGTAAACCCACACAGGCACAGGGAGAACATGCAAACTCCAGGTAGGTAGTGCCATAGTTGGGATTTGAACTGACATTCCTAGCACTGCTAGGGAGAAGTGCTAATCACTTAGCCACTGTGCTGCCCGCATTGAAAATGTATTAAAACCACATCTAAAATTGTGGTGTGAACCAGCCCTAACAGATTCCTCCATCCACACAAAGGGAGTGGATGGAGAAATTCCCCTACTGGGACATTGTATTGTGAGGGTGGCACCTGCCATTGTAAGAATACACTGATCAGTGGCTGCAGCTGATTGGCGGAAAATTTTCCAACATGTCACTTCTACAGAAGTCTTTAAAATAATTGACTTCTCCTAAGCAGGGGGGCTCACACACTAATCAAAATTCAGCAGGTTTCTATTATTTAGAGCAGACAAATTTCAGCCATTGTATGGCCAGCTAATTTCTGGCTGCAGTATTTTCTGGGTAACTCACCCAGAACACACATGTAGAAGCATGAACGCCTGGCGTGCATGCATGTTCCAGATCAGAGGCTCACAGAATACTACAGTCAGAAGATTAGCATGACTGCCAGGCAACTTTTAGTTTCAAAAGGGACAGTCAGCAATGGTAGCACACATCTGTCTTTGAATAATGGTTTCATTAAAGGGAGGAACAGTAAAGGGTTGAAATCTCTCTCCTGCAGAAACCGGTACTTCGGACTCTGTTCCATGTTGCTCGAGGCCAAAATAATATTGGAACACAGAGCAAGTGTTCTCTGCTGTGGTGGAAAACCATAATACAGGTACCCTTGTAGAATTCGCAAATTGCCTGCTCTGTTTGGATTACCTTCCATAAGCCCTTTAAGCAGAGATGACATGAGCAATGCTCTATCATTTGGTAGTACGAGTCCAGAAAAGGTATCTTTTTTAAAATATATGCATTTAAATAAGCAGGATGGTCAAGGTAGGTAGAAAAACTGTTGTTTTAGAGAAGGCCTGCTTTAAAAGATAATTTGTGCTCTGCCCAAGCAGGCAAAGCAACATGATCAGCTTAACGCTTACTGTCTTCTGCAGCACATGCTTACTTTTCCCTCACCACTCTTCCCCATCCCCCACTCTATTCACCACCAGGAAGCCCTGTATAGATGTTAGAGCTTACACAAGGCTGAGATCTATTCCCGACTCTGAGCCAGAGCAATAAATCACATGCTCCTCCATGCTGGACATACTGGGCATTTTATTTCAGTCCCAACAGCTGAATGAAGATGCGGTATGGGAGTGAAGGAAAGGTGAGCATAATGCTAGGGAGGGGTCATTAAACCAAGTCTGTGTGGACCGTCAGAGACTAGTGAAATTGATCCCAAGAATCAGCAGTGAATTTGTTGGATAACATGTCTGCATACTGCAGAAATAGACATGTAATTTATAAATAAACTACAGAAAATAATTTAAAGTGGTTGTAAGGGCTGCTTGCTCGGGGGGGGGGTACTCAGCAGGGAATAGGAGCCAGAAGCGCTAGCGGGAAACCCAAGAAGAGGAGGATCTTAAAAAAGCTGAACCTTTAGTATTACTTTAATTTAAATTGATTGTAAACCCATATTTGTTTCTTAAAAAAATAACAAACATGTCATACTTGCTCTGTGTTGTTTTGCAAAGAGCAGCCCCACTCTTCCTTTTCTTGAGTCCCCTGGCAGCACTCTCAGCTCTTCTCCCCTGCTGAGTGCCCACCATAGGAAGCTGCTTGCTATGGGCGCATTCGTGCTGGCTTGCGCCCCCTTCACTGGCTGTCATTGACAGAAGTGGGAGCCAGTGGCTCCCACTGCTGTCTCTGAGCCAATGAGGAGGGAGAGAGCAGAGAGAGCCCCTGCTCTCGTACACATTTCTGGATTGAGATTGGGCTCAAGGGGGGAGCTGCACTCAGAAGAGTTATTTTTACCTTGTTGCAGAGAATGTGTTAAGGTCTATCTTTTATAGCTAAGGAAACTGCCATCTTATCCTCTGTTTGATCTGCAGTTGACATAATGATGCACATGTGATCAGTTATGACACCATCCATTTGATAGCTTGACAGTTCGGTTGAGAGTGACAGTAAGACTGCCCATACGCTATTCAATTTTCTTCACATTTTCTGTCCAATTTCTGCCCAATTTCCGTTAGATTTACCTTCAACTATGTAGTGCACGGGCCTGCCTAATTGAATACAATTGAAAGTGTTGTTTAGGTTTGACCTCTTATTATATGGTTTTTGGTAAATCTAAAGCACAATTCTCCAGAAAATTGTATAAAGTATGGCCAGCCTTAGCATTCATGGCATGCTTTGAGGCCTCGTTCACGCCATGCTTGCAGAAAAACTGATGGAAACTGACGTGCAGAATTCGCTTGCACAGACATCAGTTTACATCAGTTTTCGTGCACACTTCAATGAATTTTATACATGTTGCAGACTCCTGGGCAGAAAAAATCTGCTCGTGACACGAGTGTTTTGTGGTGTGAACAGGACACATATAGAACAATTGATTTTGTTGTGCCCTTGCAGGACGTGTGCAGAAAAACTGACATCTCTGCATCCTGGTGTGAACGAACCCAAATTGATGGGTTTAGTTATGCTTCACTTATGGACATACCTGCCTTCTATTGACTTCAAATCTAAATAGTGACTGGCCATAGATTTCTAAAAAATCTGTTCTATTTCAGTCTCAGGATCAAAGGGTACAGTCCCACCAGAGGCAAAACTAAATCCTTCAGAGCCCCGATGCAAAAAATCATGGAGGGGCCCCCTGACCTCTTCCTACTGATCCGGGGCCCTTTACTCCCATAACAGGGCCCTTTACTTCGGTCCCGTAGGGGGACCCTTTCCCATGTTCTGCAGCAGGCCCCCTTCCTGCCGCCTTAGGGCCCCCCACGGTAGTGGAATGCCAAGGCCCAGTGACAAGTGTGACCTTTGCGATCCTGTTATTTCCATCACTTCTGTGGGTACTAATTTGACAGCATGTGGGTGCATGTGTAAGACAGTGTGCATTCAGGGCCACTCACCCACACTTTCACACCTATCAAATTAGGACCTGCAGGTGTGTTTGTACAGCCACTGCGTCCCCATAGACTAAGAGGCGGCTCCAGCTGCACAAACTGCCCATTCATGGGCCAGAGAACCTGTGTGAATGAGATTACTTTTTAAAATTATTTTTTACAATTTTAATTATTTTTATTTTTTTTTTTTATTTGTTGCAATATTTTTATTTTTTACCTTTTCTTTTTCATAATGGGGAGGAGAGCTTTGGTAAACAAAAAAGGAAGGGGCCAGTAAATTACATATTTACTAGCCCCTTTCCAGCATTACATTCAAATAAGATTCACCACAGCCGGCAGGAGAGAAGAGGGGGAAACCAGAAGAGGGGGTCCGGGCAGGAGGCACACACATGCGGAGAGCAGTGCGGCAGGGAGCAATTAGAGGAACTGATTCCCTATATGCAGCAGCTGAAAGCAGGGAGAGGAGAAGATGCTGGCTTTCATCTGCCACAGGCTGAGCCATACAGAGGATCGGGTCCTTTAATTGCCTCCACCACAAAACTTAATTTGACAGGAAGGACGCATGGGCTCCCCTGGAGCAGGGGCCGGGTCACAATTGCGACCCCTGAGGTACACAAACTTTAAGGGAATATTTGAAACCACATCCAAAGCAAATGGCAGCTTGAGAAAGGGAGACCCACCCCCAAAATATGTTGCCCAGAGCATCAGTGCACTGTCTTTAGGAATTGGGAGGATACACATGCCGCATTGGGCTTTGGCTGTCAGAGGAGACCCTCAGCATGGAACATTCTGCAGGT